ACCTAATTTATGTCCCTTTACTGCCCGGAATGCCTCTGCTGATCCTACAGCTATTGTATGCAGTAATCATATGCCTATGAACCAGAGTAATACTGTTAGCACTGAGGTGGTGTGCCCAAGTAGGAAGTCCACTGTGAGCAGCTCACCCTGCACTAATAAAAATAACCTGAGTATGTCTACCTCTTCTAAGCTTCCCAGTAAAGCAAGAAAATTTATCAAGCATCCCAGAAAAGTGTTAAAAATAGCCCACATTAACATTAACATATGTCGCTTAAGAAACAAGGTTCATGAAATCAATAATTTGCTAGTAACAGATGACATTCATATTCTGACAATCTCTGAAACTCATTTAGATAAAACCTTTGATGATACAGTGGTAGCAATACAAGGTTATAACATTTACAGAAAAGACAGAAATGCAAACGGGGGCGGTTTTGCGGTCTATATTCAGAACCACATTCCTGTAAAGCTTAGAGAGGATCTCATGTTAAATACTGTTGAAGTAATATGGCTACAGGTTCACCTGCCTCACCTAAAGCCTATTCTGGTGGGAAGCTGCTATAGACCACCAAGTGCTAACAGTCAGTATCTGGATAACATGTGTGAAATGCTTGATAATATATGTGATATCAATAGAGAGGTATACTTGACTGGCTTTCATCAGGCTGCCCACTCAAGAGAAAGCTTCAAACTGTAACTAGTGACTGCAACCTGGTTCAGGTTATCAATCAACCTACCAGGGTAGTACAAACAGTACAGGAATGAAATCATCAACATGTATTGATCATATATTTACTAATGTTGCAGAAATTTGTTTGAAAGCTGTATCCAAATCCATTGGATGTAGTGATCACAATATAGTAGCCATCTCTAGGAAAACCGAAGTTCCAAAGGCTGGGCCTAATATTGTGTATAAGAGGTCATACAATACGTTTTGTAGTGATTCCTTTGTTGTTGATATATTTGTTGGTCCGTGGTGAGTAATGACGAGCAACCAGACACTGCACTTTACACATATGAAATTGCTTATCCCAGTTACTAATAAGCATGCACCCATTAAGAAAATCACTGTAAAAACTGTTAAATCCCCGTGCATTGATGAGGAATTGAAACATTGTATGGTTGAGAGGGATGAAGTAAAAGAGATGGCAAATAGGTCTGGCTGTACAACCGATTGGCAAACTTACTGCAAATTGAGAAATCATGTGACTAAACTGGATAAAAAGAAGAAGAAAATCCACTATGAAACAAGGATAAATGACATAAAGAATGATAGTAAATAACTTTGGAGCACCTTAAATGAAATTTTGGGCAAAAGGGCAAACTCCGCTCCATCATTCATTGAATCAGATGGCTCATTCATCACAAAACCCAGTGATATTGCCAACTACTTTAATGATTTTTTTCATTGGCAAGATTAGCAAACTAAGGCATGACATGCCAGCAACAAACGCTGGCACTACACATCCAAGTATATCTGACTAAATTATGAAAGACAAGCATTGTAATTTTGAATTCCGTAAAGTAAGTATGGAAGAGGTGAAAAATATATTATTGTCGATCAACAATGACAAGCCACCGGGGTCTGACAACTTGGATGGAAGATTTAAGCCTACTAGAAAGTGTGTGCCCTCAGGCCTGGAGGGAAGCAAAAGTTATTCCCCTATCTAAGAATAGTAAAGCCCCCTTAAACGGCTCAAATTGCCAACCAATAAGCCTGTTACCAACCCTTAGTAAACTTTTGGAAAAAATAGTGTTTGACAAGATAAAATTGACAACAGACTTTCAGCATGCTTATAGGGAAGGACATTCAACAAGCACTTTATTTTTTATATTTTTTTAGGGGGTAGATCAGCTTTAATATTGCAGATAGATTGTAACTTCCATCAATGTAATTGTCTGCATCACTTCCAATCCCTATATATATTTTTTATTTTTCTTGCATATACAGTGGGGAGAACAAGTATTTGATACACTGCCGATTTTGCAGGTTTTCCTACTTACAAAGCATGTAGAGGTCTGTACTTTTTATCATAGGTACACTTCAACTGTGAGAGACGGAATCTAAAACAAAAATCCAGAAAATCACATTGTATGATTTTTAAGTAATGAATTTGCATTTTATTGCATGACATAAGTATTTGATACATCAGAAAAGCAGAACTTAATATTTGGTACAGAAACCTTTGTTTGCAATTACAGAGATCATACGTTTCCTGTAGGTCTTGACCAGGTTTGCACACACTGCAGCAGGGATTTTGGCCCACTCCTCCATACAGACCTTCTCCAGATCCTTCAGGTTTCGGGGCTGTCGCTGGGCAATATGGACTTTCAGCTCCCTCCAAAGATTTTCTATTGGGTTCAGGTCTGGAGACTGGCTAGGCCACTCCAGGACCTTGAGATGCTTCTTACGGAGCCACTCCTTAGTTGCCCTGGCTGTGTGTTTCGGGTCGTTGTCATGCTGGAAGACCCAGCCATGACCCATCTTCAATGCTCTTACTGAGGGAAGGAGTTTGTTGGCCAAGATCTCGCGATACATGGCCCCATCATCCTCCCCTCAATACGGTGCAGTCGTCCTGTCCCCTTTGCAGAAAAGCATCCCCAAAGAATGATGTTTCCACCTCCATGCTTCACGGTTGGGATGGTGTTCTTGGGGTTGTACTCATCCTTCTTCTTCCTCCAAACACGGCGACTGTGGTCCCAGCTCTCTTCAGGTCATTGACCAGGTCCTGCCGTGTAGTTCTGGGCTGATCACTCACCTTCCTCATGATCATTGATGCCCCACGAGGTGAGATCTTGCATGGAGCCCCAGACCGAGGGTGATTGACCGTCATCTTGAACTTCTTCCATTTTCTAATAATTGCGCCAACAGTTGTTGCCTTCTCACCAAGCTGCTTGCCTATTGTCCTGTAGCCCATCCCAGCCTTGTGCAGGTCTACAATTTTATCCCTGATGTCCTTACACAGCTCTCTGGTCTTGGCCATTGTGGAGAGGTTGGAGTCTGTTTGATTGAGTGTGTGGACAGGTGTCTTTTATACAGGTAACAAGTTCAAACAGGTGCAGTTAATACAGGTAATGAGTGGAGAACAGGAGGGCTTCTTAAAGAAAAACTAACAGGTCTGTGAGAGCCGGAATTCTTACTGGTTAGTAGGTGATCAAATACTTATGTCATGCAATAAAATGCAAATTAATTACTTAAAAATCATACAATGTGATTTTCTGGATTTTTGTTTTAGATTCCATCTCTCACAGTTGAAGTGTACCTTTGATAAAAATTACAGACCTCTACATGCTTTGTAAGTAGGAAAACCTGCAAAATCGGCAGTGTATCAAATACTTGTTCTCCCCACTGTGTGTATATATATATATACACACACATATATACACAACAAGCACAGCACTTACACTAATGACTGATGATTGGCTGAGAGAAATTGATGATAAAAATATTGCGGGTGCTGTTTTTTTTAGATTTTAGTGCGACTTTTGACATTATCGATCATAGTCTGTTGCTGGAAATACGTATGTGTTATGGCTTTACACCCCCTTCTATATTGTGGATAAAGAGTTACCTGTCTAACAGAACACAGATGGTGTTCTTTAATGGAAGCCTTCCCAACAAAATCCAGGTAGAATCAGGAATTCCCCAGGGCAGCTGCCTAGGCCCCTTACTTTTTTAAATCGACATGCCACTTTGAGTAAAGCCAGTGTGTCTATGTATGCAGTGTGTCTATGACTCAACAATATACACATCAGCTACCACTGCGACTGAAATGTCAGCAACACTTAACAAAGAGCTGCAGTTAGTTTCAGAATGGGTGGCAAGGAATAAGTTAGTTATTTCAAAAACTAAAAGCATTGTATTTGGGCCAAATCATTCACTAAACTCTAAACCTCAACTAAATCTTGTAATGAATAATCTGGAAATTTAGCAAGTTGAAGAGACTAAATTGCTTGGAGTAACCCTGGATTGTAAACTGTCATGGTTAAAACATATTGATACAACAGTAGCTCGGATGGGGAGAAGTCTGTCTATAATAAAGCGCTGCTCTGCATTCTTAACAGCACTATCAACAAGGCAGGTCCTACAGGCCCTAGTTTTGTCGCAGCTGGACTACCGTTCAGTGTTGTGGTCAGGTGCCACAAAGAGGGACTTAGGAAAATTGCAATTGGCTCAGAACAGGGCAGCACGGCTGGCCCTTAGATATACAAAGAGAGCTAACAATAATATGCATGTCAATCTCTCCTGGCTCAAAGTGGAGGAGAGACTGACTTCATCACTACTTGTATTTGTGAGAGGTATTGACATGTTGAATGAACCAAGGTGTCTGTTTGAACTACTGGCACACAGCTCGGATACATTTGACATTTTAGTCATTTAGCAGACGCTCTTATCCACATCCCTGCCGGCCAAACCCTCCCCTACCTTGGACGACGCTGGACCAATTGTGCGCCGCCCATGGGTCTCCCGGTCGCGGCCGGCTGCGACAGAGCCTGGACTCGAACCAGGATCTCTAGTGGCACAGATAGCACTGCGATGCAGTGCCTTAGACCACTGCACCACTCGGGATACCCATGAATACCCCACAAGACATGCCACCAGAGGTCTCTTCACAGTCCCCAAGTGAAGACAGACTATGGGAGGCGCACAATACTACATAGAGCCATGACTACATGGAACTCCATTCCACATCAAGTAACTCATGCCAGCAGTAAAATTAGATTAAAAAAACAGATAAAAATACACCTTATAGAATTAGCTGCCTTGGCTAAATTCTGAACATGTGCGTGTGTACACGTTCTGATGTAACATCAAAGGTTTTCTTAAAATTAAGCAACTGTTCACTGGAAATAAGCGCAAACTGAAGTGTGATGGTACAATGCATTTGACTGTTTTTCATTCAATGTATCAATATCATAATTGTATCTTTCCCTCAATCAATACACATTGTTGGAAATAATACCTCATTTTCCAGTAAGTGTCCTCGTTTTGGACAGGCAGAGTCTGGACAGCTAATAGCAGTTTCAAGGCCCTCTTTGATCAGGAGTTCCACATACTGCTTCAGGCACTGAAAGAAAAAGAAGAGCATAACATTGACCTCATTCTATGGCCACGCAGTCAATCAGAAAATGTGTAGGCTTATTGTGTGGCGCGACAACAACCTCCAATGTGCCTCTCCCTCTCTGAACCCCGTAGTAGATGTTCTCTGCTTTTGGCATTGACTATTCATTCTGCTATCTATTTCTTTATTTACAGTGTCTGGTTAGCAGAAGAGGAGCATGCTAACCACATAACATCCTAATGAAAGCCTTTTATCATTAATGAGACAGCGATAGAGGGACTTCTAAACTAAGGTTCCTCTCAGCTACAAGATGTAAGCTTGCTACAAATCCAGCCCATTCCCTATAAGCAACTGCAGTAAATGTTAGTTTACTCCCAAACTAAAAGCCATTGCTCTTTCATAGCTCTGACTGAGCTCCAGTGAACAGGAACGGTATTATCAGAACTTGTTATTGGTGTGATGCTTCACTGTTCAAATAGGCCACAAGAACAGCACACCTGATATTTGTCACCGAGTTGACTTTTTATGCCTCTCAATTTTTATGCTTTGGAAAACAAAATGGTTTTTCATGTTTTGAATTTCTTCCACTCTCCAAAAACACTGAGTGCCAAGACAAATAGCGTGAATAATATTAAGGTTGGGGATAAAAGGGGCTGGATGATGCCGAGTTTTTAAGCATGTTTAGGCGTTTCCCATGTTGGGAGAGTCGTGGCTGTGGTATCAGCTTGCTTGGCAGGTCAAATGTCCATTTGCCTCTCCTCTGAATTCATGCAACCGGACAACAGTCCAGATTGACTGTAGGAGAAATGTAGTTCAGTGTAGTTTAATGACATGTAAACATTGGAAGATACAAGTTATATTTCTGTACATACAATCTAAACAAAATAGCAAGATCAGGAAGTCGAGAAGGGATTTAAAGTCGCAGTGAGGTTTCAGGGTTTGACCCTGGTAGGCTTACCATGGACTGACGTGTGTAGGAGTCGCTCACTCGCAATAGGTCCTAGATCTAGGTATTAACTAGGTATGTGAGGTACAGTGGGGTGAGGAATTATTGGATCCCTTGATAAAGATGAGCAAAAAAGACTGCATAAAATAAATAATACAAATACTGAGCTACAGTATATTGTATGCATATTCTTATATATATATATACACACAGTGGGGAGAACAAGTATTTGATACACTGCCGATTTTGCAGGTTTTCCTACTTACAAAGCATGTAGAGGTCTGTAATTTTTATCATAGGTACACTTCAACTGTGAGAGACGGAATCTAAAACAAAAATCCAGAAAATCACATTGTATGATTTTTAAGTAATTAATTTGCATTTTATTGCATGACATAAGTATTTGATCACCTACCAACCAGTAAGAATTCCGGCTCTCACAGACCTGTTAGTTTTTTTTAAAGAAGCCCTCCTGTTCTCCACTCATTACCTGTATTAACTGCACCTGTTTGAACTCGTTACCTGTATAAAAGACACCTGTCCACACACTCAATCAAACAGACTCCAACCTCTCCACAATGGCCAAGACCAGAGAGCTGTGTAAGGACATCAGGGATAAAATTGTACACCTGCACAAGGCTGGGATGGGCTACAGAACAATAGGCAAGCAGCTTGGTGAGAAGGCAACAACTGTTGGCGCAATTATTAGAAAATGGAAGAAGTTCAAGATGACGGTCAATCACCCTCGGTCTGGGGCTCCATGCAAGATCTCACCTCGTGGGGCATCAATGATCATGAGGAAGGTGAGGGATCAGCCCAGAACTACACGGCAGGACCTGGTCAATGACCTGAAGCGAGCTGGGACCACAGTCTCAAAGAAAACCATTAGTAACACACTACGCCGTCATGGATTAAAATCCTGCAGCGCATGCAAGGTCCTCCTGCTCAAGCCAGCGCATGTCCAGGCCCGTCTGAAGTTTGCCAATGACCATCTGGATGATCCAGAGGAGGAATGGGAGAAGGTCATGTGGTCTGATGAGACAAAAATATAGCTTTTTGGTCTAAACTCCACTCGCCGTGTTTGGAGGAAGAAGAAGGATGAGTACAACCCCAAGAACACCATCCCAACCGTGAAGCATGGCGGTGGAAACATCATTTTTTGGGGATGCTTTTCTGCAAAGGGGACAGGACGACTGCACCGTATTGAGGGGAGGATGGATGGGGCCATGTATCGCGAGATCTTGGCCAACAACCTCCTTCCCTCAGTAAGAGCATTGAAGATGGGTCATGGCTGGGTCTTCCAGCATGACAACGACCAGAAACACACAGCCAGGGCAACTAAGGAGTGGCTCCGTAAGAAGAATCTCAAGGTCCTGGAGTGGCCTAGCCAGTCTCCAGACCTGAACCCAATAGAAAATCTTTGGAGGGAGCTGAAAGTCCATATTGCCCAGTGACAGCCCCGAAACCTGAAGGATCTGGAGAAGGTCTGTATGGAGGAGTGGGCCAAAATCCCTGCTGCAGTGTGTGCAAACCTGGTCAAGACCTACAGGAAACGTATGATCTCTGTAATTGCAAACAAAGGTTTCTGTACCAAATATTAAGTTCTGCTTTTCTGATGTATCAAATACTTATGTCATGCAATAAAATGAAAATTAATTACTTAAAAATCATACAATGTGATTTTCTGGATTTTTGTTTTAGATTCCGTCTCTCACAGTTGAAGTGTACCTATGAATTACAGACCTCTACATGCTTTGTAAGTAGGAAAACCTGCAAAATCGGCAGTGTATCAAATACTTGTTCTCCCCACTGTATATATTTTAAATTAATACAATTGCTCAGAGAAGGAGATTTTGTTTAAATAGAAAAAAAGATATGGGTCAAAATGATTGGATTCCCTGTTTCTAATACTTCAGCACCCTCCCCTTGCGAGGATAACGACACTGAGCCTTTTTCTAAAATGTTTTATAAGATTGGAGAACACATTGGGAGGGTTTTTAGACCATTCCTCCATACAGAATCTTTCCAGATCCTTGATATCCTTCATCTGCACGTTCATTCCCACGGGGGGCCAGTATGAAAAATGTATGCGCTCACTAATTGGAAGTCGCTCTGGATAAGAGCGTCTGCTAAATTACTAAAATGTAAAATCTGTGCTAATAGACTGCACTCTTCAATTCAAAACACACGTTTTCAATGGGGTTCAAGTCCAGAGACTGAGATGGCCATTGCAAAATGTTGATTTTGTGGTCAATTAACAATTTCTTTGTGGATTTTGATGTGTGCTTTGGGTTATTGTCTTTCTGGAATATTCACTTGCGGTCAAGTTTCAGCCTCCTGGCATACAAAAATATATACATCTTTTTTTTATTAACTTCATATTCAAGTCGACAAACTTTACCCAAAAGCAGCAAAGTAAAAGTAAGCCTGGTTCACGCACATTTTCCCCTCTCCTCCACTCTTGACTGCATGTGCTACTGCTGCAGGGAGGGGGGGGGGGGGGGGGGGCTGGGGGTTGGGGCATTGCCTAGGGAACCGATTCTTCGTTTGCTACAACACCTTGCTAAGCAACACATTTTTAGTCCATGTTACTGCGGAAACGGATTCAATCGCACATGTCATCTTTTTGAATGCCAACCGTCCCATCTTCAGTTAGCTGTTTGTTCCACAACACAAAATTCTAAAAACGGGCTAGTTTTGCCTCCTCTCGTGTCATTATATCATCGGTTGTTAGACGTAAACCAGGCGTACTTTTTTATCTTTTACATTTTGTAACCTTTAAAAACGGTTATGACGGTTATTTTATTTTTATGACGGTCTTCACCCATAATCGTCAGTTACACAATTATACAATTACTGTGCCAGCCCTAATGCATACAGAGGACAAGATGTGTAAAATATGTTGAAAGGGCACTCACCAGTGTACAGAAGACACATTGGCACTGAGTGATGGTGGTCATCTGCTCCAGTGGGAACTCTCCAAGGCAGAGTTTGCAGGAGACCAGGGGGTCCAGGGCCAGGTCCCAGGTGGGCCGATACCTGGCTGTGGTCATCTTGCCTGGCACAGAGCTGATAGAGCATGAGAGAGCGAGAGAGAGGAGTTAAAGATGCAGGTTGGCTAATGTTTGTCATTTCACAGACAACAAAAGGAAGCTGACATGATATTCACGACGTGTGAATTAAACTAGCTCAATATGAGCATATCTACATGATCTGTCCCTAAGTCCAAGACGTGCACTTATTTGCTGTGATATTATGCATTGGCCAAAAAGGCTTTCTGAGTTGCGTCCAAGTGAGGACACATTAGAGATAAAGGCCAATGCAGAGTGACACCAGCTCTTTGCCTAAACGTCCCTTGTCAGTAACTATAATTCCCCTTCTGTTCTGGATGCTCACAGACAGAGAATAAATGTAGGGCCCTTAAAAATACGCGATGTGGAGAACACAGACAGAATCACAGAATCCAGACATTAAAACGGAATTCAACAATATAAAAAAATGCATTGAACTTAGTAGGGAATCAACTAAATGTATTGAACATGTAGGGAAAGGGGGATACCTAGTCAGTTGTACAACTGAATGCATTCAACTGAAATGTGTCTTCCGCCTAAATGTATTACATTTGCCCAAGTTTATCATAAGATATGAACAGTGATTCGTATTTCCTGCAACTTTCTGAAGAGGCAACGACAATAAAGAGTAACTACACCCAAAAATCTATTTTCCCAGACCTCAAAAGTGTTTTCCTGATGTTGTTTAAGCTTTGTTGTGGACTTGGAACATCCAATTTAATTATTTTTCTATAATCAATTGTGATTTTGAGGGAAAACCTGAAAAAAACGGGTGAAAACGGAAACCTGGAAAAACTAAACGGAGAAAATTGAATTTTGGCAAACACTAAACGGAATCAGTCAAAAAATAAAACAGATTATATAGGGCCCTAAAATAAATACATCTCAAAACAGACAGTCCTGCAGCGAGCGTCTTGTTCCCCCACATGATAAAAGCAGTCGTATTAAAATAACACTTTCCCTTTGCAGTCATCTCCTTTCTATTTGGAGAAAGCGATTTATTTTGGGCAGCCTCAACTCTGATTCTCACTGCCTTTCTTCCACCCTGGCTGAGAGCAGAGGAGGCGAGATAGAGAGACAGAGAAAGAGAGAGAGAGAGAGAGAGCACAGAGTGGCTTAATGTCTCTCTGAGTGTTTACAGGAAGTGCCCCCATGCAGGCAACTTCAACACTGTCAAAATCTCCCATCGCTGCTAGGCAACTGGGGGGAGGGAGGAGGGAGAGAAGTGGCCGACCAAATAGATAGTAGTCACTGCTTAGACAAGTGAAAGCTATCAGAATAGCTTCCCCCTCAGAAACCTAAAAGGGGAAGGAGGTGGAGTAGGAGGGAAGGAGGAGGGGCTGCTGTGGGGGCTGAGAATGAGTAAACGTCTGCCCAATACTATCTACATGTGCTGCAGGGAGAGAACGTGTCCTGATCTGTGCTAGGGGCTGACTGACAACACACTGGCCAGTGTGAGTTGCCAACAGGAACAGTGTGCTGGTATTGTAGCTGTGTCAACAAGGTCAACGTGCTGCATGGGAAGTCACCAAAACCACCCTGTGTCTACCAGACAAAAGACAGGGCGACAAAAGACCAGGTGAAGAGTTGTGGGAATCATTATGTGATAAATTATTATACCAATGATATAGCAAGCAACTGAAATGTGCACTTCCTAATTAAAAAGTGATTCCCCTTGATTTGTGGACTCTGGTCTTCCCTTCAGCTCAGTGGAGGCAGCCAGGTTGAGAGGCAGAGAGGCAAAGAGAAAGAGAACGAGAGAGAGAGCGCTTGAGGAGAGCCTCCCTCTATCCATTAGCGTAGTACACAGGGCCTGCTTTCATCAGGACAGGCAGTGAGAGGCTAGCCAGGAGCTCTAAAAGCCAGTACTCGACACCAATCAGACCAGAGGTGTCAAGAGAAGACTCACTGGCTGCTCAGTGAATACCTGCCAGGGCCAGCTGAGATGGCAGCAAGTGGAAGCGCAATCACATTAGCACTACAGATAGCCATATAATTGATGAAATGCTACGTGCATTATACGGCTGTCTTTACAGCTAGAGCCTAATTGAAGAGGTTGTTTTGTCTGTTACAGTAGTACCAGGTAGATGGACTGCCATAATACAGACCACGCACTCAATCACAGTACTGTAAAGCTTCCTCCTTGTTTTTTCCCCAGTCTCTGTATTCTGTATTGGTTAGGCTGGGGTTAACAATGAGAGTCAATGAGGACAAAGGAGCGTTTCATAAGGCGAGCCAGAGGAGAGGAAAAGAGAGCAGAATTTTCTTGACAAAAGGTGGTGCAATGCGAAAGGGAGCGCTCCCACCGCTGCATTATTTACAAGGAGGTCCATTATCGCTCAGTGAGAAACACATCAAATGAATGATCTCGGCTCCCTGCTTTATGAAATGCATGTCTGGCAGGTCACATTATGGCACCAATCAATACGCAGGGTGCCGTAAGTGAACATGGTTAACCACTACTACCACTGCTACTGACTAGGAAGTTACTAGTCTTATTTTATAGATTAACTAAACAGAGTGGGAGTGACAGAGTCTGGTGTAGCGGTCTAAGCTTCTGACCACATATGCCCCCTGGCAACAGTGGTTAGAGCCTGTACAAAATAACACAAATACATAAGGGGGTCAGAATTCTGATAACAGAGTGTGATTTTGTGTGTGTGTGTCTACATGTTGTAGTGTCCCGGGGGGTTTGAGGGCAGTTCTATCATTCTGTTACTATAACTGCACAGAATGCGTCTCTGTGCCTATACATGTACAGCGGTGAACTCTTCCATAACATATTACGTGAGCAGCCTAGATAGTGAATGTGTACAGTAGAGAGTAGGGCTGTACGGAAAGTGGAGCAGTGGTCCTTTCTGAGCGGAGCTAGCCAAGTAGGCCATCTATAAGTGGACATATCCTGTACAGTTCATAATGAACTACAGTCTCCCTACGGTCTCTACACAATTCATCTTCCATCAGAGGAAATGGGTCATCTTCAAATGTATAGTCCATGACCCGAGTTATGATATGCAGAAACACATAACACTTCATCACATAGGCCTAGTCAAGCCTGCCTTTCCTTCTCACCCAGTCTGTCACTGCACCCTACCATTGAGACCACACAAAAGCCGAGCTCTGCATTAAATCGATGCGTTGCGCGCTGCCTTCGCTCCTTAATATCAATATTAAACGCCTACTCGGCTGCGAGGCAGACGGAGACTGGTCAAGAACGGCTCTCATTTGAACCTAGCAGCTTTCTCTGTAATTACATAATGTCATATTAAACTGGATTGCGTAAGGTCTATTTATACTCTACCTAGGCTAATGTGAGAGAATGCTCATGACTGCTGCCTCCCGGAGCGGATGCACTCTACTGTGTTCCACACTCCAAATGCAGGTTCCCTTTTGTGAAACGGCCAAGTCACGAGCAGTCCTTGTGTGTTTGTGCGAAAAGGAGGGGCTTTGATAGTGGATAGGGGTTCTTTCTCAAAGAGACCAAAGCACTGTTAAACACAACTCTGATGACCTGCCCCTGGACAATTCAACCTTTGAAGGACAAAAAAAAGAAACACAAAGAAAATAGACCTACAAAAATGGCTTATAGATGAAATCAAATTGTATTTGTCACAAGCGCCGAATACAACAAGTGTACAGTCGTGGTCAAAAGTTTTGAGAATTTTGGTCTTCACAAAGTATTGGTCTTCACAAAGTTTGCTGCTTCAGTGTTTTTAGATATTTTTGTCAGATGTTACTATGGTATACTGAAGTATAATTACAAGCATTCCATAAGTGTCAAAGGCTTTTATTGACAATTAAATTAAGTTTATGCAGAGTCAATATTTGTAGTTTTGACCCTTCTTTTTCAAGACCTCTGCAATCCGCCCTGGCATGCTGTCAATTAACTTTTGGGCCACATCCTGACTGATGGCAGCCCATTCTTGCATAATCAATGCTTGGAGTTTGTTATAATTTGTGGGGTTTTGTTTGTCCACCCGCCTCTTGAGGATTGACCACAAGTTCCCAATGGGATTAAGGTCTGGGGAGTTTCCTGGCCATGGACCCAAAATGTTGATGTTTTGTTCCCCAAGCCACTTAGTTATCACTTTTGCCTTATGGCAAGGTGCTCCATCATGCTGGAAAAGGCATAGCTCGTCACCAAACTGTTGTTGGATGGTTTGGAGAAGTTGCTCTCGGAGGATATGTTGGTACCATTCTTTATTCATGGCTGTGTTCTTAGGCAAAATTGTGAGTGAGCCCACTCCCTTGACTGAGAAGCAACCCTACACATGAATGGTCTCAGGATGCTTTACTGTTGGCATGACACAGGACTGATGGTAGCGCTCACCTTGTCTTCTCCGGACAAGCTTTTTTCCGGATGGCCCAAACAATCATAAAGGGGATTCATCAGAGAAAATGACTTTACCCCAGTCCTCAGCATTCCAATCCCTGTACCTTTTTCAGAATATCAGTCTGTCCCTGATGTTTTCCCTGGAGAGAAGTGGCTTCCTCTTCATAACATTCTGGAGTATATGCAAATTGCCATCATAAAAACTGAGGCAGCAGACTGTGAAAATTAATATGTGTGTAATTCTCAATACTTTTCACCACGACTGTAGACCTTACCTGAAATGCTTACTTACAAGCCCTTAACCAACAATGCAGTTTTAAGTAAAATAAGAGTGAAGAAAATATTTACTAAATAAACTAAAGTAAAAAACACAATAAAATAACAATAATGAGGATATATACAGGGGGTACCGGTACCGAGTCAATGTGTGGGGTAGAGCTTAGTCGAGGTAATTGAGGTAATATGTACATGTAGGTAGAGGTAAAGTGCCTATGCATAGATAATAAACAGCGGGGGGATCAATGCAAATAGTCAGTGTAGTAATTTGATTAACTGTTCAGCAGTCTTATGGCTTGGGGATAGAAGCTGTTAAGGAGCCTTTTGGTCCTAGCTGTGGCACTTCGGTACCGCTTCCCGTGCGGTATCAGACAGAACAGTCTTTGACA